CAGGGGGGACGGGTGGGGGGCGCTGGGGGCAGCGGGGTGCGGGGGGGGCTTGGGTTGGGGACCCCCATGCGGGCGGGGGCCCAGGAAGTGACGTCAGGGCCCCGGAGCGGCGGGGATGGGGGATGAAGGATGGAGGATGAGCGTTGTCATGGAGATTCCCGGCTGGACCGGGATGGGGGGGCAGGAATGGGACGGGGTGGGGGGCGCCGGTGGCTCCTGCCGGGGTGCGGGGGTGAGGGGACACCCCCGGGGTGACATCCCCGGGGCCCTGGTGAGGGGCTGCTGGTGCTGGGAGTGCTGGAGGCTGGCCCAGGGCTGGGGGGGGACGTGGGAGGTACCAGGGCCTGGGCAACCTGGCAGGGCAACCAGAGCCTCATGTTGGGGTCTGGGGACCGCAGGGCTCCTCACGGTGGCACGGAGCTTCTCCAGACCCCACTGTCATGTCGCGGGGATCCTTGCCGTGGCCTGGGGCATCTAAAGACCCCATTGTCACGACATGGAGACCCTCTGGATCTCCACCAGGATGCCTCCAGCCCTCACTGCTGTGCCTTGGGGCACCTCCAGACCTGACTGGAGATGAGACACCCTCCAGCTGCTGTCACAGGATGCCCCCAGGCAGCTGTGACCCACAGAGAGGGCCATCCCCCCCAGCAAACACCTGCCCTGTCCCTCCCTGTCCCTCCCTGTCCTGCCGGCTCCGTGTCCTCGTTGTCGCTGTGCCCCGAGCACGAGCGGCCGGGCGGAAGGGGAAGCCATCACCGCCCGCGCACGGCCGGGGAGGAAGGGGGCCTTTGTTCGCCCTTCCTGGCCACTTGCACAGCGGGGAGCAGCGGCCGCCCCTCGGGGTCCCCGGGGACAGGGGGGTCACCGAGACACAGCCCAGCCCGACGCCCTCTTCCCGCTGCCGGCAGCGGGAGCCAACAGCTGGAAAAGCGCTTTGCTCCGGAGCTGAATCCTCACGTGTGCCAGGGCTGGGGGTGGGCGCTGGCTCTGTGTCCCCTCCCAGCTGTGACGCCCACCCCCTCCCAGGTTCTCGGTGAAGACCCTTCTGGAGAAGTACACGGCGGATCCCATCGATGACTCCTCCGAGGAGTTCGTCAACTTCGCCGCCATCCTCGAGCAGATCCTCAGCCACCGCTTCAAAGGTGAGGGTGGCCCCCAGCACTGTCCCTGTCCCCAGGAGCGTGTCCAGCTCTGGTGAGGGGGCTTGGCTGGCACGGCAGCCCCTGAGCACAGCCCGTGGTGCCCGCAGGCCCTGTCAGCTGGTTCAGCTCTGATGGACAGCGCGGGTTTTGGGATTACATCCGCCTGGCCTGCAGCAAGGTCCCCAACAACTGTGTCAGCAGCATCGAGAACATGGAGAACATCAGCACCTCCAGGGCCAAGGTCAGGAAGGCACCAATCCCTGTCTGTGCCCCTGTCCCCATCCCCATTTCTATGCCTGCCCCTGTTTCCATTAAATCCACCTTGACCTTGGTACATGGATCCATCCCATCCCATCCCATCCCATCCCATCCCATCCCATCCCCTGCCCTCCTGCAGCTCCATCCCACCTCACAGGACCCCACAACAGCAGCTGTGGGTCCCCATGGTCCTGCAAAACGATAAACGGACTGAAAGCCACTCCAGTGTGGGGACCCGCAGCTGCTGGGGGTGGGTGGGAATGTGGGGGGCAGACGTGGGGGCACCCCGGGCAGCCCCCATGCCCAGCACTGCCTCGCAGGGCCGGGCCTGGATCCGAGTGGCGCTGATGGAGAAGAGAATGTCCGAGTACATCTCCACAGCCCTGAGGGACACCCGGACCACCAGGTGAGCACCCCCGCCCTGCTGGCCATGGCCTCACCTGCACCAAGGTGTGTCAGGGTGGGGTTTGGGGTGCCGGGGTGGGTTTTGGGGTGTTGGGGGTGGCACATCCTGCCGTGTGTTTCCCCACAGGAGGTTTTATGATGACGGGGCCATCATGCTGCGGGAGGAGTCCACGGTGCTCACGGGGATGCTCATCGGGCTCAGCGCCATCGACTTCAGGTAGGGACAGGTGACACAGTGGGACACAGGCCCCAAGTGACAACCTCGGGGTGCTCTGACCTTCTCGTCCTCCTCCTCCTCCTGCTGCTGCCTCTGCTCAGCTTCTGCCTGAAGGGAGAGGTGATGGACGGTAAAACGCCCGTGGTCATTGACTACACGCCCTACCTGAAGTTCACACAGAGGTAGGAACTGGGGTGCCCTCCCTGGGGTGGGGACCCCCCAGTCTCTCCCCCAGCACCACGATGGGGCTCCCTGAACACATGAGAGCCTCTGCTGAGCCCCCACACCCCCAGCTATGACTACCTGAGTGAGGAGGAGGAGCGGGGCAGTGTGGAGAGCAGCACAAGCGAGGACAGCTCACCTGAGCACCCCTACCTGCCCCTGGTCACGGATGAGGACAGCTGGTACAACAAATGGCGCAAGATGGAGCAGAAATTCCGCATCGTTTATGCCCAAAAGGTACCGGGAGCCAGGATGGGGCTGTCAGGGGATCAACTTCCCCAGGGTGGTCCAGCCTGGAGCATCTCCACCCGTGCATCCCCACTCCCACAGCCCCGTGGGACCCTCGGCCCTCCCTCCTGCTGCTGCAGTGACCCAGCCCGCTCCTTGTCACTCTGGATGGCCCTGGGGACACTGCGGGTGGTGGCAGCGGGGCACCACTGAGGGCAGGCTCGCACAGGGGTACCTGGAGGAGCTGGTGCGGCTGCGGGAGTCGCAGCTGAAGGACCTGGAGGCGGAGAACAAGCGGCTGAAGCTGCGGCTGGAGGAGGTGATGGTGCAGAACCAGCTGGAGAAGAGGGAGCTGGAGGGCGTCATCCTGGAGCTGCAGGAGCAGCTGTGAGTGAGGACCCAGGGGCCACTGCCGGGGGCTCGGGGGGCTGGGGGTCTCTGGGTGGTCCCCAGTGCCCCACACGTCCCGTGGGTGGTGTCACCTGGCAGGTCACCAGGCCCTGGTGGCTGTGCCAGGCACTGAGCACCCGCCTTTGCTGCAGGACGGGGCTGATCCCCTGCGAGAACCCACAGCTGGCCCAGCTCTCCAAGGAGATGGTGACACCCCTGGTCAACCAGTGGCCGTCCCTGGGGACCCTCAATGGCAACGAGAGCGGCTCGGACAGCAAACTCTACAGAAGGTAACCCCACAGTGGGGACAGAGACCTGCCAAAGCACCCTGCCCTACCCCGGGGGGGACACGGTGGGGGGCAGAAGGGCTGTGCCAGCCCCAGGGGGCTCAGGGCTGTCCCCCTGCAGGCACAGCTTCGTGAGCACCGACCAGCTCTCGGCCGAGAACAGCCTCAGCTCCGACTCCCAGCGCCTGGGCGAGGGCAAGCGCGAAGGGGAGCCCTGGGGGCCCTTGGGTAAGACCCCCCCCACCCACCATAGGGTGCCCCCGGGGCTCAGCACGTCTCCCCACGTGCAGCCGGGTGTCCAGACCCACCAGCACCCCCCTCCTCATGGTCGGGATGCTGCCCCAGCAGTGCAGGGACACCCAAGTCGCCCCCGGAGAGGAGGTCCCTGTCCCCCCGGGGTGGCAGGGCAGGGACAGGAGCCCGAGCCGCCTGTGACACCCCGCTGTGCCTTTCTGCAGGGAAGGACCCCACGCCCTCCATGCTGGGGCTCTGCGGCTCCCTGGCCTCCCTGCCCAGCTGCAAGTCCCTGGCCAGCCTCAAGTCCAACGAGTGCCTGGTGAGCGACAGCACGGAAGGCAGCCCGACCCGCAGCCCCAGCTGAGACCCCCGGCCCCCGCGCCGCCCCCCCGGCCGGCACAGGACTGAGCTCGGACCCCTCCCCACCCCGGGACAACGAGGGACTCGCCGACCCCAGCGGGGGGGGGGGCTGGGGACGGGCAGACCCCTCCCCATCTCGAGACCCCAGCCCGGCCGCGCCTCGGCCCCTCCCAGCCTGGAGCCCGGCTGGACACACGGACCTGTGGGGATGGGGATGCAGGGCTGGGGGCCAGGGGAGGGGGGAATGAACTGTGCCGCGGTGGGGGGACACTGGGAGCGAGTGACAGCTGCTGGGGAGCATGGAGGTCGGGGCCAGGCCCCTTCCAGGGGTGAAGGTCCAGTGTTGGCCATGCTGTCTGTCCTGCTCAGCCCTCGATGCCCACCCGGGCTGGCCTCCCCCAGCTCCCCTGCACTGTGGGGGGCTGCCTGTCCCCCCCCGCAGCATCCCCACAACTGGGGGAGAACTCTTCCCCCTTCCTCCCCCCGGGATTTTGGGTTATTTTGGTTTTTATTTCAGCCCCATCTGCCTTGTTGGAGCAAAAGGAATCAATAAATGCAGCAAGCAGAGCTGGCCTGTCACCCACCTCCCACCAACAGGGCCGTGGCTGTCACCCCACAGACGCCTCCACAGCACCCCAGCACACAAAGGGAAATCCTTCCACTAAGAGACAATAATTTTATTTAAGAAATTAGGAGAAATTCCCCCCATGAGTCCCGGGGTAAGGGGGGCAGTGCCCGCAGAGCTGGGGCAGGCCCTTGCAGTGGAAGGATGGGGCAGGGGTGCCACAATGGCCCCCCGGAGCAGCAGTGAGGTCTGTCCCCACACAGGGTCTGTCCAACCCAAGGTGTGACAGTGGATGGGGACAGCCCAAGTGGGAGGAGAGGTCCAGAGGCAGGGAGAGGGTCCTGACATGTCCCCAGGCCATGCAGAGCCAGCGAGGTGAGGCTGTGTGTGAGTGATGGTCAGGAGGGGCAGATCCCCAGGCAGAGCAGGGCTGGGGGGTCCGGGCAGGCAGGGAAGCCCCCAAAGTCCGGGGTTTGGTCCTTGCCAGAGCCCCAGCTCCATCTCCTGCCAGGCCGAGTCTCCTGGGACACCCCATCCTTGCCAGTGTCCATGATTCCAGCAGCAGCATCTGTCCAGCCCCAAGGGATGAGTGCGGGGGGCTCCGTTTCCCCCCCAGTGTCACAGTAGCAGGCACAGATGTCCCCCGGCGTGGCTGGCAGAGGGAGTGGCCAGGCTGGCCCTGGCTCCGTGTGCGGGCAGCGGGAGGCAGAGCAGGAACGAAGGCACTTGGGCTCTGCACAGCTCCTGGCTGGAGCAGGGCTGGCACTGTCCCTGGCCATGGCCACATCCAGCCCTGCCCCAGGCCTCCTCACAATCCCCGCAGCTGCTGCTCCTGGTTCAGCTTCTGGAAGAAGCTCTTGCCAAATTCATAGGTGCTGATCATGATGGCGCAGGCAGGTGCCACCTTGATGACACGGGGCAGGAACCCTGCAAGGACAGCACTGTGAGCCCCACGGTGACACCAGGGCACCCTGAACCCCAGCACGGGGCAGGGCAGATCCTCACCTGCAAAGAGCCCCCGGGTGCCAGACTCGGCACGGATCCGCTGCATGAGCAGCCAGGTGGAGGAAGGCTTGGAGGCTGTGACTGTGGGGAGAGGGGAGCAGGTGAGGGTGGGGGGACACCCATGGGGAGTCCTGGTTGCCCCCCAGGCACCTGCCTGGAGCCTGGCCCCTCACCTGGGTGCACCTCACTGTCTCCCAGCTCGATCTGCCGCTGGGTTTTGACCACGTCGAAGGGCAGTGTCAGCACTGCAGCCACCTGTGGGGTTGACACTGCATGGTGAGCCACGACGTGGGGCTCCTGCCCAGTGCCAGCTCTGTTGTCACCTCCCAGCACCATCCCAGTCCCACTCCTCCCTCCCACAGGGGCCAACCCCCCCAAGGGAGCCCCAGCATCCCAAACTCACCGTGCCAGAGATGGCCCCGGATGCGAAGCTGACCATGAAGGTGGCCCCGTCCAGCCAGGCCTGCCTGCAGAGCCACGTCCTCACCAGCTCGTAGTTAAACCAGTACAGAGCTGGGGGAGAGGAGACACCAGTGCTGCCACCCTGGGCACGCCAAGCCCCCAGCACAGGGCTGCCCTGGGCCCCGTCTCACAGCCATACCTGAGAAGGGCACGTCCCGCAGCACGGTGGGGCCCCAGCCTCTCCAGAGGGACAGCCAGCCATCCTGTGCCACTGCTGACTGGATACAGACACGCAGCTCACGGTAGCTCAGCTGCTGGGACTGCATCTTGGTGCGGATCAGCTCCAGGGGGCTGATGACTGTCACAGCACCCACTGCAACACAGGGACACGGGGAATGAGCTCTGCTTGCTCTGGCTGTCCCAGAGCCACCAGCATCGCGCCAGGAGAGCCAGGCACTGAATGTGGGCACTGAGACCTGCCACCCTCTGCTGCCAGGACACAGGGTGGGCATGGGGGGACCCCACAGAGGAGGGGCACTCACGCCTGGCGAGGGCCCCAGCCAGCAGGGGGATGCAGTGGCTCCAGCTCCCCATCCGGGCGTGCAGGTAGTCCCGCAGCTGGTCATAGGCAGTGAAGTAAATGACGGTGGCTGGCACAGCCATCACCCTGCGAGGAGGAGAAGGGCTGTCAGGGGCACATGTCTTCCCTCCCTGGGGGCTGGCAGGGGGCTTGGGACCAATGTCTGTGTGCCTGGGCAGGTGGGAGCAGCCAGAATCCCCAAACTCACAGGGTGGGCGGCAAGCCGCTCCACAGAGATCTGATGCCCTCATAGCGTGTGATCTTCACAAAGGCATCCTGGCGAGAGAGCAGAGCACCAGGGACAGGAGTTACAGGTGGAAGAGGGACAAGCAAACCCCCAGAAAAAACCCCAACACCCCTCTGGGGTGGGGAGGCCCCAGCCCGGAGCTCGTACCAGCGTGCCGGTGAAGTGGCCGGGGGCCTTGTACCAGGCGGTGCAGCCATTGCCATTCTGGCACACGTACAGGTGGTCCATGAGCCCATTGCAGTACAGGAAACACTTCCCTGAGGCAGGAAACAGCACCACCATTACACAGGAGACCCTTTCCCTCTGCCCCATGCCCAGCACATCTGATCCCAAAGCTGTCACACCTTCCAGGAAGGAGCCAAACCCGCAGTGCTGGAGCCCAGTGTGGACCAGTCCGAGGCCAAGGCCAGGAGAGGAAAAACCCTCCAGCAAGGGTCTGATCACAGCCAGAACCAGTAGGATCCGCTGCCAGCAATGGGAGAGGGTTTATGCCTCACTTGGTCTTGGCTCTGCTGCCCTGGCACAGTGGGGTCATCAGCACTGGCTCCTCCACTGCGCTCTCAAGCCAGGCACAAGGGACACCAGGCAGTGGAAATCCAAGGGGACTTTGATGTGGCAACAGGACAGAGTGACAAGACGGGGGCCACAGAGAGCCAGGCCTGCCGCCCAACAGATCCCCACAGATGTGGCACAGCCAGCCCCAAAGCAGAGCTGCAGGGGCAGCCTGGGCTGGGGACAATGCCAGCCCCCACGCTGCAGGGATGTCCCCACAGCCAGAGGAGCTCAAGCCACCGCCAGTGGAGAAGCAAACCAGGATGAAGGCTTGGGAAAGCAAAGGCCCTGGCAGGCAGCAGGAGCCCCTGGCAGCAGGAGCCCCTGGCGTACTCACATGTGGCCGGCTGAGCGCCCCAGGGCACTGACTGCGCTGCCAACACTGAAACACACAATGGGGACACACTGAGCAGCCACCCAGGGGACATGCCGCCACCCAGGGCTGGGGCACACGTGTGTGCTGCAGCTCCCAGCCAGGCAGAGGGACAGCTCTGTGGGTGAGGGGGCTGCATGTCCCCACAGCCACTTCCCAAGCAGTTCCTACTGTCACCAAACCAGTCCCCTGGGGCCAGCCCCAGCCCACTGAGCCCACAGGAAGGGGCCGAGCCCATGGGAGCAGCATGGAGACTGGAACAAAGGCAGTGGGAGAACAGCCAGCAGCTGCAGCAGGCTGAGCCTCTGCAGGGCTGGGGGCTGCCAGGCACAGCGCTGACCCCTCAGCACCGGGCTGCAGAGGGCAAGGACAGAGCCAAGCACCAGCCCAGCTCCCCCAGCAGGGCCCCCAAGCTGCGAGGACAAGGGGCCCATGGTAACCTGCCAGCCCACCATGGCCCCACACTCCAGAGCAGAGACATCCCTGCCACAGCTCTGCCAGCTGAGACCCCCGCGGGCTGCTGGCCAGGGGGGGTTACCTTTGGAGAAGGGGGGCTGCTGGCCAGGGGGGGTTACCTTTGGAGAAGGGGGGCTGCTGGCCAGGGGGGGTTACCTTTGGAGAAGGGGGGCTGCTGGCCAGGGGGGGTTACCTTTGGAGAAGGGGGGCTGCTGGCCAGGGGGGGTTACCTTTGGAGAAGGGAGTCCTCTGGGCCTGCAGCCGGATCTTCACCACGTCCAGCGGCGTCACTAAAATGACACCATCCCTTAGCCATGCCACCCCCCGTGCCAGCCCCCCACCCCAGTGCCTGCCCTGCCACACTCACCGAACAGGGAGGTGAGGATGGCACCTGTCCCCGAGGCCAGCATCTGCTGCAGAGGCGTGATGCCCCCGCCGGGGCTCGGTGACATCTTCTCAGCCATGGCACTGTCCCCCTGCAATGCACAGCAGGGGATGCTCGAGGCTGGGGGGTCCCTGAGCAGGGATGGGGTCCCCAGGGAGCCCCCCCGGCATCCCCAGTGCAGCAGAGTGAGGACAGGTGTCCCACACCCGCTGTGCTATCGCTGCAGCACACGGCAGGCCAGGGCCCCCCATAATCAGGGTGTCCTGGGGGGTGACAGGGACAGGCTCCCAGGGCCGGCCCAGCCCTGATAACACCCCCTGGCCTCACACTGGCAGCAGGCCCAGCCTGGCTGGAGAGGTGGAGACAGTCCAGCCTTCCATGTCCTTGGGGAAGGAGGACTGTCCCCTCCCTGCACTCGGAAAATTAAGGACAGGAAGGAACAAAGTCTACAGAGCAGCCATGCCGTGACAGCCCCCAGGAGCCCCGGCTGGGATGGCAGCAGAGCCCAGTGCAGCCATGGTGGGACACCAGGGAGGGGGAGATCCCCCTCGTGAGTTTGCAACAAGCCCCTCAGGAAGGGTTTAGGCATCTCAAACCTGGCTGATCCCGCTGGGGCTTGGCAAGGCTGCAGCCTCCAGGGCTGGTGTGCTGCCCTCGGGAAGCCGGGGATATCACACCCCTCCCAGGGAGAAGGATGTGGAGAAGCGACCCTCAGCACATTCAGCACCAGCTGCTCCCTCTCGCTGCAGCCTGGGGATGAGTATCATGCCGGGACAGGGCCATAGCAGGAGAACCCACAGGGTTCTTTATAGCCTGGGAATGCAGCAAAAAAACATCACCATCTGACTCAGCAATTTGCAAGGTCAGAGAAGTCATAAATCTCTCCTTTGCAGGCCCTGGAATTGTTGGGTGACCAAGGCTGCAAGTCAGGACAGGTCTGTCCTGAAGCCACATGTGCCTGCCCCACTGGGAGAGCTGGATCCATCCCAGCCCCGCACGTGCCAGGAGCTGGGCCTGTCCTGAACCCACCCCGTCCATTCCCCCAGGACCCGGGTGCTCTTTGGGCACAGGCCACAGCGTGGCCAGCGCGGGAGGGCAGCGTGGCACGTGCCCCGCGGGCCCCACAGCCACTGCAGAACCGTGCCAGGGCCAGGGCGCTGCCTCCGGATCCTTCCCTGCGACCCAGCCCTCCTGCCCGGCCTGACGCAAGCCAGGGGAAATCTCTTGCTCCCAGCTCTGCCACACCTGATAAACTCTCTCCTCAAACGTGACATGTCCCAGCACAGCCCCAGCCTCGGTGCTGGGGCAGCGGGGACCGCCAGGGCTTCCTGTTTGCACCCGAGCTCCCTTCTCAGCTGGGAGCTGCTCCCTTCTCCACGCAGGATAAAATGAGCCCCTAAACCCAGAGCCCCTGATCTGCCCGGAGTGTCAGCGGGGCCGGGTACGGCACGGTGAGATCGGGACAAAAACGGGGGAAACAAACACGGCTTAAGATCAATGCAAATAATTCCCAGGGACGGGGGGCTGCGGGGAAGCTCAAGGGGCTCTTGCCGGACTGGAAAGGCCCAGGACTCCAGCCCTGAGCCAGAGGGGATTCCTGCCGGCAGATCCCCGGCACTTCGTGACCCTGGGCTGCTCCAGCCTCAGGGATGTGAAGCTGGGTCCCCATCATGTACCCCGGGGTGCCCGGACAGCAGCGTGATCTCACCCTGCTGGGGCACAAACGCCTGTCCCCTGGAGCAGGGGACAGTGCTGCTGTGTCCCCCTGTGCCCCAGGTGAGCCCCCATCCCGCAGCCTGAACCCCTACCCGGTCTCTGTCCCCCTACCTGGAGCCTGCAGCCCCCCGGAGGGGTTTGCCCACCCCTACCAGAGCTCGGAGCCCCCAGCCCAGGGCTGTGCCCTCTCCCCTGGCCCTACACCTCCCTCTCTCAGGATCTGCAGCCCCGGCAATCTCGGGGTTCGCCCCCTCCCCGGGAGAGGAGTCCGGGGGTCCCCGTGGCCGCCTCCACACCCTCGGCAGCCGCACGACCCCCGACACGGGGGGAAACTGAGGCAGCGGCCACGCGTGCCGGACCACGAGGGGCATGACGTGGGGGACGGGGGTGTCGGGGAAGCGCCGGGGGTTCCGCCCCACCTGCTCATTCCAGCCAGGCTTGGCGCGTCCCTCCGGGACCGGCGGCGGCGCCTTTAAGGAGCCCCATGGGCGCCCCGCGCCCTCCGCCGCACTTCCGCCCGCCCCGCCCTGCGCATGCGCGCTGAGCCCCGCACCCCCCCGCGCCCCCTGCCGGCCCGGGGGGGAAAAACACCTGGGATACAGAAACACCTGGGATACAGAAACACCTGGGATACAGAAACATCTGGGATACAGAAACACCTGGAATACAGAAACATCTGGGATACAGACAAATTGTACACAAACAGCTGATACAGAAACACTTGGAACACAGACAGATACGTTGTACAGACCTCCGGAACACAAACACCCTGTACATACCTGGTACACACCTGGCACACGCCTTGTACACACCTTGTACACACCCTGTACGTGCCCTGCACACTCACCGTGCTGACAGAGGGTTCACCTTGCACACTCACCATGCTGGCAAAAGGGTTCACCTTGCACACTCTCACTCCGTGCTGACAGAACGCTGTGCCTTGCACACACCGTGCTGAAGCCCTGGGCCTCTCCCCCTCCCCACCCTGAGCCCACCGGGCTCGCACACTCTGGTGTGGCTCGCACACTCATCGTGCCAGGGTCAGCGGCAGGCTGGGACATGGGCAGGGTGCCGTGCCAGGCCCAGTGCCACTCTGCTGCCTGCAGAGGAACAAAGGCTCTCAGTTCCCAAAGCGCCAGCACTGTGAGCACCCAGCATCTCCCCAGGCTCTGCCGCACTCCCTGCAGCTCCTCCGAGCAGGGCCGACTGCCCTGCCACTTCCACCTGAGAGCTGGGATTCATGCCAGGCCCTGATGGGTCTGGGGGGCTGGAATCCCATCTCTGCTCAGTGCAGACTCTCAAGCTGAGTTCTTCCTTTGGAAGTGCTGTGTTTTTCCTGTGGAGAGCCCCGAGTCCTTCTGCATGAGGTGGTGATCTCCCTGAGGGGCTCTTATTCCTGCTTGTAGTTAAATTTGGAGATTTTTTCGGGAGGAGTTTCTTCACTGAAAGGGCGATTAGACATTGGAAGGGGCTGCCCAGGGGGGTTTGGAGTCCCCATCCCTGGAGGTGTCCAAGGAACGGCTCACCATGACACTCGGTGCTCTGATTGGCAAGGTGGGGATTGGGTACAGGTTGGACTCGATGATCTTGGAGGTCTTTTCCAACCTCAGTGGTTCTGGGAATGTGGTTCAAGCTCGTCCGCGTGCAGATGGGAGGGAGCAGAGCCTTTCTGGTGTCCGTCAGCCCCTCCGTGTAATCTGGGCTGATGACAGCAGATGGCTCCCGAAGCCCCTCCGAAACCCGCACGGGCCCCGCAGCTCCGGCTCTGACCTGGCCCCGAGAGCCCCGCGGGTAACAGAACTGGGGGTGCAGGACTGGGATGAGATGACAGCTCCTTCAGGAAACTCCCGCTGGCCAGAGTTCTGGTGACTCCGTTTGTGTGACAACATCACTGCAGGACCTGCCGTGGTGCTGCGTGATGCAATCCCTGCCTCAGAGCCGGCTGAACTCTTGCCCTGACAAACTCGAGGATGAATCCTGCGCTGGTCCCTCTTGGCTCCCCTGTGAGTGCCATCCTGCGGGAAGGACGGAGTGCTCCAGGACAGGTGATGTGCAGGTGCCAGAGCAGCCTCTGCCTGTTGGACAGGAGCAGTACAGGGCTCAGTCTGCAGTCCCGGGGTGTGTTTGGAATGGAGCCTGATGCACCCACAGAGATTTCCCTGTCCCTTTGCAGAGCTGGCAGAGCTCTGGTGGCTGCTCTCCTCCAGGAATAAAGTCCCTCCTGGCTGCTGGCATCTCTGAGAACTGTCAGTGAAGGGAGCAGCTAATGCCAGAAACTGCCCTTCCGTGACGCCAGGTCCAAGGGAATCTTGGCTTTAAGTGATGTGAGCCCAGGAGCCCAATAATTCCCACAAGGTCCCGTAAGTGAACACATCCTGTGCCTCCCTGATGAGTCAGCTCTGCCTCTTAGAGACACGGGCTTTAAATGATCTGAAAGCCTCTTGCAGCTGGTAATTTAGAAATGGAATAATGATTAATTAAAAATATATCTGTCCTTAGGGGTATTGGGTCTCGTATCTTCTGGTTTAGGTGTTGGGCTCTGTGTGGCTCCCACACACTGAAAAGAGACAGGAGCAATGCTTTTTCAGATGGGGTGGGGTCAAGAGGGACCAGTGAAAGATGGTTTAAGTGCCTTGGCCTCGATTCTTTGAGTCTGTCGGTTTGCTAAAGAGGTCAGGGTGAAAGGGTGAGTTTGTTTATCCCAAGCTCAGCACTGCTGAGGACCTGGCTGGCTCGTTGTGCTGAGTCACAGCCCGCTGGCCGCCTGCGCTGCCCAAAGCCCGGAACGTTTCTGTCCCAGTTCACATCCTCGCAGTCCCGCTGGCCTCAGCGGGGTGCTGAGGGTGCCCCGATTACTGTGGAAACGAACTCTTCAGTCACTTCAGCTGGAGAGAACCAAGCTGAAATGTGCCTGGTTGGTGGGAAGGAGCCAGCTGAGCTCTAATCCCCCCCTGAGCCGCAGGGACGGTTTGCGTGAGCCGCGCTGGGGTCTGTCCTGCCGTGACACCGCACGGCTGCGGAGCCCTTGTGTAACCGCCTGCTCCCGGCTCCGCGGCGCTTACGAAACGCAGCTGGTGTCCTGGGCCACGGCCACGGCCCGGGAACCTTGCTCTGGGGCTGGGGCTGCCTGGGGCTCCTGCGGGCAAGGGTCACACCACGGGCTGCCGGCACCTGCAGTCGCTCTGGAAAGATCTATCCTGCCTCGGCACTTTGGAAAGCGCAGTTTGGAAGCAATTAACCCGTTTCCTTTATTTAGGTGAACTTTAATGGCCAGGTTGCAAAAGGGTAGTGCTTTAATGGAATTAAGCCAGTGCAGAATTTGAGTATTTATTTCAGCCGGGATCATTATGGTTTTGCAAAAGCCAGCCTTAAGCTGAATTAAGTGACTGAAATGAAGCAGCTTGTGGCCAGAGGAGGCCCTGGGGACATCAGACTTGTATAACCCAGAATATAACCCAATATAACCCAGAATTTCTGACGCAGCTGCAGCTCTGCAGGTGACACCTGGGCAGTGCTGTCCTACCTTCTGTAGCACCTGCCAGGGAAAACCTTGGTTGTTATGAAACAGGTGACAAACCTCACCTGAGAGGAAAATAAGCCTGGTCTTAGGGATGAAGACACAGGTATGGAAGATAAAGACCCCATGGTTTCCTCCCTAAAGTCTTCCTTTATAATTTTGTGTTAAAATAGTGTATACCTAGCAGCAGTATGGGCCAGGAGTGGGAAGGAAAGAGCAGCCTGGCCTGAGAATGGTAGGAAAAACTCCCAGATCCCTTTTCCAATAAACAAAAGCCCCTGTGAACACGAAGAAGAGCCAGAAGAGCTCAGTGCAGTAATTAAACTCCACATCAGCTGTCAGCCTGCTGCACGTACAGGTAAGAAATGTGCCCTTAGAGAGGTTCTCTGCAGTTCCTGTCAGCTGGGGCAGGATCTGCTGATCAGCTCTTCCCACCTGGGGCTGCACTTGGGGACTTGGGCTGCTCCAGAAGTTCTGGAAACATCTCTCTGTTGCTGCAGCAACTGATGCATTTCGCTCTGGACTAACCTTTGCCAGCAGATCTTCTAAATGGGCTGGATGTGCCTGAACATTCGCTGGCACTGGCTCTAATGGTGCCTCAGTGCCCAGCCCAGGATTTCTTGGATCCAGACAGGACTTGTTGCTGAGAACTCAGGCAGATGTAAATGGGCCTTGAGGTAACTTTAGAGAGACAGGTGTTGTCATGCTGAGCACTTCAAGAAATGAGGCTCAGAGTCTCTTTCAGTTTCGCTGTCTTTAGATGAAGAAATAATCCTGGTGGAGGATGCTGAGCTGATTCCCAGTCAGCCTGCTGTTCCTGGTACATCCCACATCCTTTTGGAAGAGCTGCTGTCCCACATTGGGCTCGAGCTGCTTGCACTGTAATTCATCTTCTTTTCTGTTGTCTCACAAGGACGGATCCCCTTGTAGCACTGTAGTGTTTATTTTACAATTCCCAAAACTGAGATAGATTTTTGAGAGGAGATGTGTCTAATCTAGGAAAATTCTCCAGCTAAATTATAGCGGGTACTTTTTAGGCAGTTTAGAAATGGGCAGAAAAGAATCATTGCTCTGGTTTTATATGGATCGCCTATTACTATTGACCTGAAAACAAACAAACCCAACTATCTTAGAACATTGCATGTTCATAAATATTTTTTGGTACAACTCTAATCTGTAAATCTGCAGTTACTGTAGTAAGAGAATAGCTTTGACACTCCATAAACGTTTATTCCAAACCAAGACGGACCATTCCCAATCAGGTCTGCTTTAAAAAGCAGACTGGTGCTGCATGTGTGCGCTCCTGGAAAGACCTGGTGAGGAAAATTCCCTTTTCCCATCTAAGTTAGACTTAAAATAAAGAGATACCCAGCAGTTACAGGTAAAAAGGGCTTTAAGAAGAACCTGGTGCTGCAGGTTCCTCATCTGTTTCTCTCACAAAAAGCCTGTTCTTAGACCAGATGTTGGTCCTTGATTTGCACCTCAGCGTTTCTCAGGAAAAACTGAAAACTGGATCCTGCCCTCCTGCAGTTTCTCTACTAAATCCAATTATTAGGGATAGTAACCCTGTTAACACAAGGTAGTAATTCCATCGAGGGATCTCCACTGCGTCCACAACGCTTCCAGGCCGAGCAAAATCAGCTCACTGCTGTTCCAGATGAAGCAGGCAAGAACGAGAGGGATCTTTTGGGATCAGGATCTGGTTTTTCAGCCTCTCCCTTTGCTTTGCAGTGCTTCAGGCTGGTGGCGGGGTGGTGAGGGAGCCCCAGCAGCTCGGGGCCACTCTCCTGTCACCTGTTGCTCCTTCTCACAGGTGTCCGCTGCACCAGAAGCCGACGAGGGCTGCCAGCCGTGTCCCTCCATGCTCTCTGCGGCCTGTTCCTCCCCACTGTGCTGAGGGCGATGCTGCGGAGCTGCCGCCCTGTGAAGGAAGCGGCTGCTCTCCCTTTGTCAGCCCGGAGCTTACCAGGAGGAAAGGAGGAGGAAATTAAACCCGTGTGGCGGCTGCTGAGGGGCTGCCGTCCCCACACGAGCGGCGCTCCCGCCATCCCCACGGACACTGAGGGCTGTGCAGGAGCTTGTGCAGAAATCGGGCCGGCAAGGCCGGCGAGGCGTCCCGCATGCCCCGGGGCTGTGGCGGGTGCGGAGGGAGGGATCTCGGAGGGATCTCAAGGCCCCGCCGAGGCCGCCCCGGCCGCCCCTCAGCGCCCGCCATAGAGCGTGAGGGGCGTGAGGGGCGAGGGCATGGCGGCAGCGCCCCCTGCCGGGCGGGGCGGAGCGCGCGCGCCCCCGCTTCCCCGCAGACAATGGGGCGGTGGCGGCGGCGGCGGGGGCGCGCGCGCGCGCGCGGGCGGGGCGGGCGCTCCCCGGGAGTTGGGGAAAGGGGGGGGCTCGGCGGCCGCTCCGCGCACGCGCGCGCGCGCTCCCGCCCCGCCGGCGCGGCGAAGGTTCCGGAGCCCGCGCGCGCCCCCGCCCCGCCCGCGCCGCCGCCGCCGCTGTCACCGTCACCGCCACCGCTGTCACCGCCGGGCTCCGGTGCGGACACCCCCGCAGCGGCAGGTACGGGCAGGAGTGGGGTGGGATGGGATGGGCTGGGGGGGAGCGCGGCGAACCCCCGGGCACGCTCTGCCTTCGCCGCGTCCCGCGCCGAGAACGGGAGGGGGGGGTGAAGAAAAAAAAAAAAAAAAATCAACCCCCGAGAAATGGCAAAATCCTACTATTTCATCCCAAAAACGAGGGGAGGGAGGGGCGTGTCCCGGTGCCGGCGCCCCGGGGCTGCGGCAGCGCCAGGCGCGGCCCCTGCGGCAGCGCGGGCGGCCGGGGCAGGTGCGGCGGGCGAGGGAGGGATGGAGGGATGGATGGATGGATGGATGCATGGAGGGATGGATGCATGGAGGGATGCATGGATGGAGGGATGGAGAGGGGCGGATCTGGGGCTCGCTCCCCGTTCTGCGCCCGTTTCGGCCCCGGTTCCTCCCGGCAGGTGGGGCCGGGGCTGCGGCAGGAGGGGCGGCAGCGCGGGGCCATGTTCTGCAGCCGCCTCGAGGAGGGAGGCAGCGCTGATTAAAAACGGTGCGTTAATCAATAATGGGCAACCGGAACGAAAAAGCGTTTCGAATAAAAAAATGGGGAAAAAAAGGAGCTGTCCACGCCCAGCCCTAAATTTTGCGAGGGGGAAGCGTTATTGAGGTCACGGCACCCCGGCGTTGCCCGGCTTTGTTGCACCCCCCGGTGCCCATGTCGTATTTAACGTGAGCGAGGTGGGTCCCATCCCGTTGAATCCCGGGTGTTTTCCAGCCGGGATGGGGATGCTGGTGCCCATCCTCGTGGGTTTGGGGCTGGGGTGGTGCTGCTTGGTGCCACTGGTGGTCCCTGGACGTGCCGTGCACATCCCAGTGCTGGGATTGCCCTTGTCATGCTGGAATTGCCCCCTTGTCCCTTCCATCTGCCTCTTCCCATGCTGTCTCTTCTTTCTCCTCCCCAAATCCCACCAGGCGGGGCATGGGGCTGCCCCCTTTTCTGGGTTTTGCCTTTTACCTGTGGTTGTTGGGTATTTCTTTATTTTAAGTCCAACTTAGCGAGGAAAAGGGAAGTTTCCTCGCCAGGTGTTTCCAGGAGCACCCACCTGCCCTCCTGCCTTGGAGCAATCAAACCTGCAAGGAGCAGAAACAGCTCCTTTCAGGTGAGGGATGGAGATTTGTGCCTGCATCCCTGTCTGCCACACGAGCACAAGGCAGGACTGGCTTAGGGAAGATGATTTTTCCTGGTGTTTTTGAACACCTAGAAACGCAATCCTGCTGCTGCTCGCAGAGGGCAGCTGCCATCACTTTAAAGGGAGTTTCTCCTTCCATTTGCTGTGGTACCACCACGCGAGGTGCAGCTCCATTTGCAGCGAGAGGCTGCTCCTGCCTGGAAACGTGCTGGAAGGAGCAGCTGAGATGAGCTAAGCTGTCACCATTTGTATGCAGAGTATTCCCGAGCTTCCCCGGCGTGGATGTGGGCAGATGTTGGATGCGTGTCTGAATCAGTGGAACAAAATTTGCTGCTGAGAATGGTTAATTTGCCTTTGCAGCGATGGCTGCCCGCTTCCATCCGCTGAAGGGGTTTGGGCTCTGCTGCCAGTGCCTCAGATTTGGGGTGTTTAATGGCTTTCATCGTGGGCTTCAGTTTTCTTGCCACTATTTTTCTCAGGGTGGTCAATCAATACAGGTCTCAGTTGGGCATTTGCAGGCTGCTCTTGAGGGGAGAAAAATTAAAACCTCCTTCTCTCTAGGAGTAAAAAATTTGTCTAACCCAGTTATGCTTTGTTCCTTCTTGATACACAAAAAGCTTGGGTTTCACCCCAAGATGAGCGACTTAAAGTGAAAAGCAAAGTGTTGGCTGATTTTCCTGGAGTTTGTCGAGGATTTGAGCATAGAATCATGGAATGGTTTGGACTGAAAGGAACCTTTCAGACCATCTCGTTCCATCCCCCTGCCGTGGGCAGGGACATCTCCCATTAGAGCAGATTCCTCCAACCTGGCCTCCAACACTTCCAGGGATGAGGATCCACTGGCAGATGGTTCACACCTGATTAAAGTATTGCATTTTCTCATCCTTTGAATCAGATGCAGGTGGAGTTCAGTTTTTGAGACCTGGGGAAATGTGATGCCCATCCCACAGATGGTGTCACAGATCAGATGGGGATGTTTATCGTGCATCAGCAGGGATTAACTGGGGATAGAATGGTGGGAAGCTGCGTGAGGAGGGGATGGGTCCAGTCCCTGCCGGTGGTAAGTGCAGCTTTTGTGTCTCCCTCTGTCAAGCACTGTAAGTATTTAGGTATTTACAGGTCAGGCTTCCAATTCAGTCTTGCTCACCCTTCCCTCTCCTCTGTATCTGCTTCCAGCCTGTGCCTTCCCAAGGCATTCCATTCAAACTGTCCCATTCCCTCTGTGCTTAAAGAGCTGCAGCTTCACGAGGACTAAACAAACGTATTTATTTCGCGTATTTTATGTATGGAAAGGGAGTGCTGCAGCTTTGTCATTTCCTTCCCGAGAGCCATGCGAAATTCTGCTCCCCTGGCCAGTCCGCAGAGGATAAAAATGAGGGAAATGTGACACTGTAGCTGCTCTTTCTCCTTGAGGAAGAGCTGGGTGTAGCCAGCCAGGGATGCTCATAGCGTGCTGGTGAGGTGCGTGTTTTATCTTCTGCCTTTTGTGTTCCTCTGCTGCATTTTGGAGAGCCGTGTTCCTCGTGGAGTGCTCCTTGGTCTGTGTACCACCTGTGTAGTTTTTTTTTCCCAGTGTTTTGCCAGGTGTGGGATTTGGTTTGGGTGCCACCTTGCTGGGCTTTGCTGAGGGTGGAGCAGATTGCTCCCTGCTTACCTTCGTGTCCCCACGTGGAAATGTGGCTTTGCAGTGTTGTGGGGCTGCTGGAGAAGCCACGTTGGAAATGTTTGTGAGCTGGTGCGGGTGCTGAAGTCTGAAAGCCTGCCTTCATCAGCAGGGAGTGACAAATTGTCCTGACACATCTGCAGCACAGCTGTGGCTGTGATCCTGTCGAGTGGCCGTGTGGGCCCGTGGTAGCCACGCTGAGTGCTGGGTGTGCCCACCCCAGGCCTCCAGACAAATCCCTCGTGGTTGGCAGAGCGTGGAAAATTGGATCACGAGGCACTGTCTGAGGGGAAATGCTCAGGGTGGCCGGTCCCTTTCTTCCCAAAAGCAAGATTATTGAAAAGCTGGAAGAAAGCTGTGGATTTGAGTTTGTCTTAAGCAGAATAATCTTATTTTGTCAGCCCAGCGTGCTGATGAGGCTTGGCTGTGGTGTTGGTGTCCTTTGGGGCAGTGCTGCTAATTTAGCTGTAGGAATGCTCTGACACTTGATGAATGAGCCAGGGAAGAACCAGGGCACTGGTTTCCACTGGCTCCAGTATTTTCCAGTTTGCTCAGCTTGCTGGCTGGTGAGGTCAGTCGGCTTCTAGGTTGGCTGGTTTATTCCTAGGCTGTGTTCTGGCTCTGCTGAGCTGCAGGGCTGGGCTCGGAGCTTGTGGTGCAGTGCCTGGGACTTGTGACAGTTCTGGTGATGCCGGGAGGGTTCCTGGTGTGCTGGGGCTGCTGGGATGTGGCAGCAGGGATTCAGAGGAATTTAGGGGAGTTGTGGTTCTGCACGCAGGTAAAGCAGCCAACCCTGAGCAAAATGGTCGTGGCTGGTGCTTTCTGGCTCGTTCTGCAAACCCACGAGTCTGTGGAAAAGCACTGAGAGCCCTTTCCTAAAGCACGGTGAGCGTCTCTGGCTGTGTTAGAGTGGCTGTTAAACCCGAGGTGAGCATTTCCCTGTGACCTGTCCTGTGCAGGGTGCAGGGGCAGCCCCAGCTCAGCGTCCTGGCTGTTCCCAGCCTCAGTTCAGAGCAGCAGCAGCTCTCTGAGGGCTCTCCCTCCTGCTGCAGCGGCAGCAGAGCTGGGCTGCCTTTCTGGCTTTTTCTGCCAATGCAGTGTAAGCTCTTTCTACCTCAGGGGCTCTGCTTGCTGCTGGTGTTCAGACTCCAGAGCTGGCTGGGTGGTACCCGGGGCTCACCCCAAGGGCACATCCTTGGAGCTGGGGGTGCTCACCAGTAAATTGGGTAGTGCTGGGTGCCACAGGGCTCTGCCTGCCTGTGGAGATGGAAAAGGAAGCAATTTCAGAAGTCCCTTGGGCTGCTGATCTTGCACAGAGATGCTCCCACTCACCTGGCAGCAGTCCTGGGGAGAGGATTGGGGTGAGTGGTCTGGGGAGAGGGGGTGGGTTTGGTGAAACCTCCCCGAGCACCAGGTTCAGCCTTGCCTGGGGTGCAGCCCCCACGTTGGATCACTGCTCCTTCGTGGGGATGTGGAGCTCCTGCTCTGGGCAGGGCTGTTCCCACCTTTTTAGCGTGAACAGCCCTTGGATGTGCTGGATTCAGCAGAATTGTGGCCCTGTAGGTAATCCCTTGTGAGGTTTTAAAGGTGGGAACAGCTCTGCTGTGAGTGAATCTGAGTCTCTGTTGCAGCAGGATGGATCTCCCTCCTCCATCTGTGAGCTGGAGCTTTGTTTTACACTGAAATCTGCTGGTTGTAGGCTGGTTTTTTTTTTAAGTGCCTGTGGAAAGCATGTGTGGTTTACACTGGAGTCTGGAGGAGAAATATCTGTGCCTTTAGACTTGAGTGGGTTTTCTTTGCAAGTCTAATGAGCTTTTTGCTCCTCAGAAATCAATCCACTGGTTTTTCCCTTTTCTTCCCTCGCAGACCAATTAGTAAAGGTGGTCATAACACACAGCGTGGCTCCTGTTTTCAGTGTCTCTTCTTTAAATATCCAAGGAAAAGGGAGCACCAGGGGATACCTTCTGTTAAGCTGAAAGGATTATTGCTGCAGTTGGGCTAATTATTTCCATCTTTGCAGCCTCTCCACTCTACCTGCCCTGACCTCTCTTCCTGGAGCAGATCTGGTGTCACTGCCTGTCTGTCCTTGCCTCCCTGCCTTCCCTCAGAGCAGTGGGATTTGAAGTGGGAGTTGAAGTGTTTGGACAGTGCTCTGAGGCACAGGGTGGGATTGTGGGGGTGTCC